TGTCTTCTCATGAACTACTTACAACATGCCTTGTTAATTATTGTTTTTACCCTCCTTTGGGTTGCTGACCCGATAAGGCGTTCAATTTTGACGCACTTGTATCAGAGATTGTGCTATTTACTGCGAATGCACCTACATACTTTCGACCAAATTTTTGATTACTAGTAGATAGGAAAGTTTCCCCGTTCATTTGGGATTCCTTCCAATCTCGAACCCGTCAGCCTTTGTCCAAGTGATTGAGTAGTCTAACTTACTAGGCAGCCCTATGTTCATTGGGTTTCGCTTATAGCACTCTACTCAGTGCTTTTGGCTTAGTACTGTTATCCACAAAGCTGTAGGAAGCATGCAGTTTCAGGTTAGGAACCATCTGATTCTGACCACACACAGTCCTACAAGATGGCTACTTCATGTGTTACGAATTCGAACCTGCGTAGGTTGTGCGCAACCTCGCAGTATCACTGTGCGCATGTAGCCACTGGTGAATGCATGGCATCTAAGCACCACAATGACTTTCCCTGCAAAAATTATTCTGGTGCTCTGGCTGCTGCATAGGATAATAAACGGCGCCCTATCTGCTTCAACGAGCAGGGTGCATATGGGTTCGGAGGCTATCGCTCAGGCCTTCTAGTCTTCTTAATCCCCCTTTAGCGTTTTTTCATCTTTACCGTCCCATTCCAACTTCACTTTTATTCCCTTGTTTTAATCCCCCAATTCTTGTCTTTCCCCCACCTTGCTTTGATAGGCGTTTAGCTTCTAGTTTCAACTCACGCAATCGCAGGTCCTCGCTCCAGTCCAGTTAACAAGTCCATGTTCAGCCAATCGGACCATGTCAATTCATCCGCTTCTCTTTGGAGTCCTTGATCCTCGCTAAGACTGGAATGCCTCAACATGCGCACTTTGGTACAGATTGGCCAACAGGCAGCATTTGCCCGAACACTAGAGACCCTATCAATCGATATTTGCTACTTATCGGGAACCCGCATGCCAGATCCGAGCTCCGTGTTTACGGTCTCCCACCTGCGATACTCACGCACATTTGCATTGCGCCTGTCTGAAGATGCCGCAGCTTCAACTTTTGTTTAAGCAGGCATATATATATATATCACAATCTGTGTACAAATATTGGGCCATCGAAACCACGGCAGAATAGCAAAACAGGCTTAGATTAAATAAAGAGAACAAATAATTTACCTATTTTTTCACTCGCAGTTTTTGAGTTTTTTATTGGGGGAGGGAAGGGGATGATCCATCCATGGTTCGTCAGTGAGCGAGATACTTCCCGGTTGCCGAAGCCGTAGTGGAGGGTTTTCTTAGGGGGCCCCACCCCGAGCCTTTGATCCAGAGTTTTACCTATGAGGCAGCAGGGCGATATGAGGGTATCGCAACCCGTTGGGAACCGATGACCAATCAGGTGGTTCCTACGCCTTTAGGACCGCAAAGGACTAGGGGCCCAACACACCCTTGAATTACAATGCCACTCAGAGTGAGACAAGGAGCAGTGATTTTATTTAGTGGCGAGTCATATGCGTCACGTCACAGTGTTGGTAAACGGACATATGTGGCTTTTTATAGGAAGAACGCTTGCTAGACGAAAACCCACCACTTCCTGGAACACTGCCGCCGAACCGTTCGCTGAAACGGGATAATCCCGAACCACCTAGCTGGCACCACGAGTTGGTTGTTCGGCGTAAGCCTTGTTTTGAATCCCTGGACTGAAGCTACCCTGATCGATTGGATTCCAGTCAACAGCCGGATGTGCGCTGTCAGATTGGCTGGCTCGTTCCAGGCTTCGGATTCGCGCGAGGACAAACGGTGTTGTTTGTCTTTGCGGTCTGCGCCCCCATAAACTGTTGCACAGATTCGGTGAAAAATGATTTCTATCACCAACTTGATCTGAACGCCCGAGTCGAAAAATTGTCCCCTGATGACCTTCATCGTAGCGGCCATCACGATGTCAGCTCCCGTACTGATAACGATGTACGGTTGCTACACCTGTGTGAAGATGCTCGTCTATGTCTTGCGAGCACCAGTTTTCGATACAGTACTTGACGAAGAGTGACTTGGCGCTCACCAGCCTGGGACTAGCCATGGATGCAAATCGATCACATCGCGATCAGTTACCGCTACAGAGGCTGCATCCAAAACTGTCGATCGATTTGAGCACCACCGCATACTCCGATCACGCTCTTGTGTGTGCCGACGTTCGGATGCGTTTCGGTGGAAGTCTGCATCGTCGCTGTGAGAACTTAGGCACCAGCCAACTGGCGAAGCCAGGTGTTCCGAATGCGTATTAGGGTACGCTGGCATTCGGGTCGGATAAGCGCTCACCGAAAACCGTTGAGGACCATTGGTCGCATATTCGCTAGACGTTACTAACAGTGGCATGTCTTCATGTGGCAAATCAAATTTTCAACATGGGCATTACGTCTGTACACCGTCTCTGGATGCTCGCCGACGTATTTTGGCTGGGAGCCAATTCGATGAGACTCGCAAAAATCTCTAGACCGACTGCGCGCTAGCCTAGAGGGAGACCGAGAAGCGTCGGAGGTGGAGACAGCCGCTGTCATTAGTAACCATCGTAAGTTATTTCGTCTGATATCGGAAACGAGCAACAGGAGACCTGATGTTAGCGAGAACATATGCGACGAGAATGGACCGCCAATCCACAGCTTTGAGCCTTGGGCCGAACACTGAGAAGCACTTCAATCATACAGAGTTGTCAGCTTCTCCACCCGCCGTTAATCACCCTGCTCCCTTGGCCGCCCCCCGTAGATACATCCTCACGCACAGAAATCGGACGTGAGATCACGCTTGACGTTGAATAGGGCCACAGGAGGACCTAGAATTCCTCCAACCATTTTCAGTTTCGGCGGTTCTGCTATTGTACATGTTTTACACGAGTTATTAGTTCAAGTGTAGGCGAAGGAAACTATCACAAAAGACTGGAGCCGTTCCCTCATGATCCCAATTTCTAACAGAGGCTCCCGTTCCTGATGCAGCCATCATAGAGGGATCAGTCTGATCTCAATTGCGTTGCGTCAGTCCTTCTCCACAAAGTGACTGGCGCTCGTGGAAGTCAGGTTCGCAAAGAGCACGCCGAGTTTCGTTGAAATTGAGGCTGCATCGATCATGTCTTTACCTACTGTTAACTGCCGACCAACCGCCATATTTATTTGCGATCCACCGTAGCCGTGTTTCTCGACATCAAAGCTCCCTACGATTCGGTGCATTAGTGCTCTCTTTGATACTATCTACTCAGGAAAGATGTGCCCGAAAATTACGTAAACATTATCAGAACGTTGTACGCGCATAATTCGGGCAGATTAAGGGTTTACGGCAAGCTGTCACTGCTCTTCATTGTTTCCAACGGTGTGAGACAATGTTGCCCGCTGTCACCTTTCATCTTTATCTTCGCCTTTCACGAGGTCGTAAACAGCGTTCATTGGACACGACTTACAAGGTGTGGAGCTACTTTCTGGTGAGCGATTTCTTGACTTGGAGCATGCCGACGACGTTTCCCTAATCTGTGCAGCTCCCAAACGTGCCAAGTAGCACTAGACAGATTATCACTGGCTGTCAATTGTTTCGGGCTATGCCTTGCTTCCTCGCCATGCAAAATCCTTCTTCAAAACTGACAGGGACCCAGCCCTACACCGGCCGTTGGTAGTGATCAGCTAGAAGTCGTTCAGTACTTCTACTACCTGGGCAGCATTATTAGCGTCCGTGGAATCGAAGATGAGGTCACGAACCGTATGGCAAAAGTTCGAGGTGCTTATGCCAACCTCCGCCCCCTGTGGCGCAGACGCGACATCACTCTCTCCGTTAAGGGCAGAATGTATAATGCGGCTTTCAGTTTAACTTTCTTATACGGTTGTGAAACCTGGCCCATCAAGTGCACATATGTTTAGAGGCTAGCTACGTCCCACACTCGCTGGCTTCGCAGCTCAGCTCATGTCTTGTAGGAGCACCGCGTTAGAAATGAATGTGTTTGATGTCGTCTGTGTGTGATGCAGGAAGTGCGAGTGAACTGCTCGGCACCATTATATCACGCACTAGGCTTCGATGGCTGAGCCACATGTTGTGCTTGCCAGCCCTTCGAATATCAGCAATCCTACTTGCCCCTGCGGAGACTGTATGTATATGGCGAACAAACCCCCACCTGTGGTCATAAGAATATGGTACAGACATTGCTGCTGCCGTGGCCGACCATCAGACGGGAAGTAATTGCACTCCGCAAGATCAACTGACTTCAATCATGTGATCAGATGATTATCATAATGATAAGTTAAATTATCTAATCATTTGCCTCCTTATTATAAGGACGATTACAACAAACCCTATACTTTTGTATATTACTGTGTAATCCTGAAGATGAATTAATCGGAAACAGGTGCTTGCTAGAAGCGTCCTGCTTTTGCTTCTCTTTCTGAACTTTCAGAAACAACTTGTTGTACTTGTGCCTTACGCCAAACGCCCTTTTCTTGTTACCGTTTATTGTTTTATCCAGTGATTAAATTTTAAGGATGTGCGGATCGTCGACCTACTTGCAACCCACAGTGAGGTTAATGCTTAATGCCTAACTGTGGTATGTTATTGCGAAGCATTTGGAAAATACCACTTGGCGCGGCACGGTTGCTGGCGCATTAACTCAAATCTGGTTGATATTCAGTTCCGTTGCTATGAATATTCCACCTTAGTTGCCCTGTTAGCAGCCCTCGCTTAAATTCGCATTACCTCGTAATCCTTGGGTTTCGAGATATTCGTAACTTTGCATTTAGTTCTTTTATTTTATTAGGACCATGATGTGACTTAATGTAACTAAATCCACTTATTTCTTTGGTCAACCCACGAAATGGCTTCCCAAACGAGAGTCAAGGTGATGAAAACAATATAAGTTCCCACTTCCAGCAGACACTAAATGTTTTTCACGTGCCTTGTACTGATCCAGTAGTTTCTCTTCCCGATTCATCTGTGACTGATTTTACTCCCCAATGTTTCAGGAGAAGCAAGGCGAACGCTCACAAGTAGTGTTGCTTGGTCGTTGGGACCCCGAGGCTCACTCTGCCTGGCTATCACAGCAAAGTACATTGGACAGACCTAAGGCTGGCACTACCTTCAAGTAAGTTCTGTCACACTCTTGTTCTGCGAAACATGATCTACCTTGATGTTTGCTCTTTTGTGCAGTTCAAACATCAGTAGAGTATGGTAGTCGAAAATGTATGTGTATTCGAATGGCATTTGCTTCGATCAGACTACGTTGTATATCCATAATACACCCGGAAAGTGACCCGAATCGACGGTACTGTCTTTCATCCATCATAGTAAGCCTATTTGAGCCGCATTTCATTTCTACGGGACAGTGTCTACAATTACTAGATAGCACCGATGCGAACCGTTTCCCGCTCGCCAACTTTGCTAAGTATGTTAAACTGCGAGTAACTCATTGGTATTGACCGCACTATACAGTTCAACTTATCTATAACTTATCATCAGTTTTATCGTTTACAGTTAATCGTAGTTCAGCTATTTTTGGGCAGCGAAGTGCGGTGAACCAAGTCGTGACACACGCATCCAACATTTTAATAACAATAAGGTTGACGATAATTCGGCTTGAATGGAAAATAATAGTCGTTGGATGAAGTATTTGAGTGTCAAAAAAGAGTCAATGAATACAAAACGCCATTGACTGTCCGTTTTTCTCAGCTATAGTTTAACTGCCATTTTTCACGACACTTGATTTTCTGCTCTGTTGCGCGCGTTCTGATAACAAGGGCTTTTCTCACTCTCCTTTTAGTTGAAAAAAGCTTCCGTTGCATTACAAGACTCGTTAGACACCGTTCCCAGGATTATGTGGAGACCACCTAAGTATCAGCTTTGTGATGTCAATTTCTTGTTTCGACACGCGAATAAACTAAACTCAGATCCTTCTACAATTCAAGAAAACAAGCTAAGTAGGCCAATGGCTTCGACTGCTTTGGAAACGATTGCAATCTTCGTTCGACTCATTTACTACATTCATCACTTCTAATCGACTTTCTATGACGGGTAATGTTGTTTTCGGGTAAGGAACCTCAGCGTTCCGCGCATCCCTGAGGCTGGTAAACCAGGCACGACGGCCAGCCTTTAGGTTGGTACTCCTGGTCGCCAAGCTATTTTACAATGTCACGCTCTATTAGTGACTGGCGTAGATTTTTCAATCTGCTTGCAGCACATCGTTTCTCTCCATGATTGCAAGGTGGCGTAGTGCTGATGGTTGTGCTGGGAGGTATTGCTACTGTCGGCGGTCATTGTCACATATCATCATTATCCGTTCAATGATGAGTTACTCCAGACCGGTATCTAAGTTGTTGTACACTCTACGATAAGCGCTCACTTCCTCGTTCACGCCGCTTGCTGCCATCATTTTATTTCCATTCCCAGCCATATGGGGGAGCAATAACAATCACTGTCAGAATTCTTCATCGACATCCTTTACTCTGCATTCCTCTGACTTGTTTATCGCGTCTTCTGGAGCACTATTTATTCTCATACGTTTGACAAAATTACTTTCGGTCTTTCCACGGGATTCAACGTGGTCATCGTGAATGCCTTCAGCCAACGGCGTGAGGTTACCGTATGTGCGAAGCATTGGTACAACTCTCAATTGGATCTGAGTTACTTAGTCCAACGACACTGGACCTTAACATGATGCGCTGGTTTGCGTACCTTCTCATCCCATTGAGCTATATCGGATAGTACCCCCGACCCTCTTGAGAACTACTCCTACCAGGTTGGTCAGTGGTTCGAGTCAGGCAAACGCAGTGCAAAACCCACAAACGCAGTCTCCTGGTCCTCTAGGTTGGGGCTGCAAATACCACGGTGTCCATTTGTGTAAAACCGAGTCGTTGTCATCTTAATGCCTTGCGCACAGGCTTTTGAGAATCTTAATCGTTCTCCTGACCCCATGTACAATCATGCCTACTTCATCAAATGTCCACCACATTTCGCATCGTCCATCGCGCAGCTTTACAATGATCAACTTATCTGCTGACCCTCTTCTATTATAACAGCCATGGGCGGCAACAGGTTTACGGATTACAAGCTCACAGCTCGCTCAGCTTAAGGCACGAGCACCACACATTGTCTCTGACGGTGGGAGGGCACCGCCTGGCGCTCAATGGTTTGCTACCACCCGTCTCAACCCAGGCAGCCCGTGGGCAACTTGGTGCAAACACGCTAACTCCCATCTGCGACTGGTTGTTGTCGAAGGTGCGTAACACAATACGGTCGTAAAAGGTGCGAATTGTACTAACTCGGCGAAGGATATGTATGACAAGCCTCAAGCAGATCGTAATCTGTCTCTGCTATCACGCTCCCGAACTGGACTCTCTCCCTACTGCTTTGTGGGTCCGGCTACTTTACCAAATGCTCCGGATGAAGTCCCTCAAGCGTACCTCATTGTACCCCACTGCCTTGTGGGTTAGGTTATTTACTCAAACACTAGAGATAGGGCACCTCGAATACAATTTCTCCCTCGAAACAGGCAGTCAGAGAGTATCATCTGTCCTCTCGATCCCATCGATAATACTCCCTCTTCTTATTGTTTTTCCTCTTTCAACTCTCTTCTTTTCAGCTAGAGACTGCCGTTGACCTCCCAGATGCTGCCATCGTTACATGTAACTCGTCCATCAAACCAAGAGCCACCTTTTGCATTGGTTCTTTTAAGCTCCGCACTCTGGGTCAAACTGGCCGACAGGAAGCACCATCACTATTCACTATCTTGGTATTGATGTGTACTGTGTCTCCCCAATGCGCCCACAAGATAACAGTTTTGTGACGAATCCTTGACTCCATTGTTCTGAATCTGTTGACAATGGCTACAATCTTCTCGTCTCTGGCGATACTGAGTCGATGGCTCAAGGTATTTACCGTGTTGGTGTTCCCCTCAGCAAGCATGCTGAAGCCAGTCTAGTTGACTGGATGCCTGTAAACAGTCGCATGTGTGCAGTTCGACTTCGAACCTTCATTGATCTTGGTAAGCGCCGTCTGAAGTCAAGGTGCCTTTTCGTCGCTCCTTTTTATGCCGCTACTGACTGTAATTTGCATGGTATCAAAAACGATTTGTAGCACCATTTTTCGTCTCTTCTCCGTATGATGAAAAACATTGGTATGATGATTGTTGCTGCGACATGAATGCCAATTAGTTGCCTTTCAGACTCTGAACACCTGAGGGGCCGCTTCGGGCCCCATGCACGCCGAACAGATAATGCAAATCCCATCCTGTAACTGTGTGCCGACCACGATCTTTATATTAGCAGCACTACTTCCAAATACAAACGATCACAGCGCGTCACCTGGCGCCCAACGGATTCCTCAATGCTCTGGACCCATTAATTATCAATGGCGCACATCAGTCCAAGGCTGTCTGTCAATTTGGAGCACGTGACTAGATTCCGACCACGCTCTAGTGCGCGCACGCCTTGCGCTCACTCTTCCTGCTCAAAGAAACGCGTAACTTCTAAGCTTCTTACTTGTATCTTGAGTCCGCATTCCGTAGTTCAGCAATATCCTAACGAACTGGTCCACCAGTTGTCAGTGAAGAACGCAGTTGGTGAGCCGAACGCTGACTGGGATCGTCTAACTTTTATATAAAAAATGCTTCTGACGCCTGTTGTATCTCCAACTCGAGACATCCAAACTGTATCAATTAGGCATCGATAAGTTTGCTCGAAGCACGTATACTGTGTGTCTGTAACGCCATGAAACGATTGACAAGGAGTCTTCCAATTGACTTACGACATGGAGAAAGCCAGTACCATTCTAGTTCATCCGGAACACAGTCCTAGAAAGCCGTGAATTAGTGATACAAGGGCGGAAAAAGATGGACGGTTACTCCATTCTCAGTTGTTGACTAGCCCGTTGGGCGGAATATTATGAAGAGCAGTTCAGCAGGCCTGTTGCGATACTGCCGCTTGCTGAATCCCCTGAATCGAAGTGGGAAATTGACGTCAAATCTCCCACTTTGGAAAAGACTCGACAGAAGCTTACCGTGTTGGAATGAATGAAGGTTCCTGAACCCAACAACCTTTCTTCATCTTTGCGACTTGCTCGCCGAACGACCTCGTGCTGCCTTGCAGATGGTTCGGGTTCGCCTCGTTACAGCGAAGTGCTCGGCGGCAATGTTCTAGGAAGTGTTTGCTTTTCACCTGGCAAGCGTACTTCTTATAAAAATCCACCGTGCGACGTGGCGGATGTGAATCTCCACTAACTAAATTCCCTGATTCTTGCTTCACTTCGGACGAGCGTTGTATTCCAACAAGTGTGTGTTTACATCATGAGGAGGACTGGGCTCCAATTGGGGTTTTGCCAAGCAAAAGACCTTTGAACTGAGCATTTATTAGCCGACTCATAATAAGTGCGGTTCCGAGAATTCGTCCCGCTGCCATGCAAATAGGCTATTTATCCAACTACTCGAGATGGTCTCCCCCTAAGTCTACTCCCTACTTCGCCTTGGTTAGTCGGGTCTTATCACGTCCACTGACAAAACCATAGGTCATTCATCCGCTATACCGCGTCCAGCTGCTTTTGCTTCAACTACTCACCCGACTCCAATTGTCAACAATCACTGTTATCTGTCACCAGCCGATTCCTGTTTCCATGCTTCTACTCCCGACAACCGCAGAGCTCGCGCAGTAGCCCTCCGTTGGCCTCGATTTTCGTTGTGTGTGGCATGCTTCAATGTAAGTACATTCACGCAGATCGTTCAGTAGGCGGTGTCGCACACACCTTGGAGGCTCTCGCCATCGATGTTTGCTCTATTCAAAACCCGATTGCAAGATCCCAGTACCGTGATTGAGTTGAGATTTCCCACTGACCACGGAGCTATATTACACGTAAGTCTATCCGATAATACAGAAGCAGCTGCGGCAGACTTGGGTGGCGTTGGTGTAGCACTAAGTGGCAAAGCCGAAACCGCACTGCTGAGATGGTTCCGGATTAATTGCCAACTGTGCAGTTTGGCTTCAGGGATCATGCAGGATCAACGGATGTCGTGGAGAAAGTGGCAACTTGTTTGTGATTTCAGCGTACGCTCCAGATGACTGCAGTTGTGACTCGGTCAGGGACGATTTTTATCATGAACTTCACCAGCTCTTGAGCAGAACATGCAAACCCGATATTGTTGTCCTTGTTGGGGACCTCAACGCACGAGTCGGTCGTCTATTATCATGCGAAAGTCACCTCCGTGGTCACCACGCGCTCGATGAAATGCGCTCAGGTAATGGAGAGACTTCTACAGTGTGCGAAGGTAATCATCTGTTTCTCTCGAACACCAGCTTTCGGCATTCGATGAGACGTTACGCTACTTGGTGACCCCCTTCCGCGTCTCAATCACGATCTCATATTAATCCTATCGCAATCAGTTTCAGATGGAGAAGTAGTGTAAAGGATTGCAGATCCATCTGGCCCATTTTTCTTGATTCAGATCATGCTCTTGTCTGTGCGAACATCTGCATGAGTTTCGGAGGGTCCCCGAAAACGAAGCACTGTGAGGTAGATACGAGGGTCATTCAATAAATAAGGTGAATTTTTCGGTATAAGGACTTCTAATACAGATAGAAGCTTACTTTTTATTTTTCAACTTAGTCTCCCAGCACTGTTACACACTTTTCCCATCTGTGCACAAGCTTCCGTATTCCCTCAGCTTAAAACTCTTTGGACTCAGCCAGTCGCTCACAACACTTTTGACTTCATCGTCACTTTCCAACTTCCTGCCTCTCGTGAACGCTTTCAAGGGACCAAACAGGTGAAAGTCTGAAGGGGGATGAGGGAGCAGCTCCCAGCCCAGCTCGTTGATGGTCTGCACCGTTCGGGCTGCTGTGTGAGGCCTTGCGTTGTCATGATGCAAGATGACTCCTTCTGATTGATGACCCCTGTGTTTGTTCTTTATGTCTTTCTTGACTTGCCTCAGCAGTTCACAGTAGTTGTCACTGTTCACAGTGCTTCCTTTCTCAAGGAATGAAATGGTGATTGGGTCTTGCATTTTCCAAAAAACGGTGAGCATCACTTTCCTCGTGGACCGCTGGGACTTGAACTTCTTCATTGGAGAGCCTACGTGCTTCCACTCCATGGACTGCCGGTTAGACTCAGGCTCATATTGGCAAACCCATGTTTGGTCACATGTGACCACCTTATTCAGAAACTCATCACCATCCTTCTCATAGCGGCAGAGACACTGCTGACACAACTCGACCCTCCTCTGTTTGTGCTCTGCGGTAAGCATCTTTGGCACCCACCGCCAGCTGACCTTCGAGTAGCCGAGGTCACCATGGACAATTTTGTGTGCTATCCCAATAGATAAGCTCAAAGTCCTTGCAATGTTATCCACTGTCACCCTTCTGTCCGACTGAATGAGGTCATTGACTGATTCGATCACCTAAGGAGACCTCACTTCTGTAGGCCTCCCAGGCCTGTATTCATCCTCAATACTGCTCCGTCCTTCTTTAAACGATTTTGCCCACTTGTAGACATTTTTTCGGCTGAAACATGTGGCACCACACACAGTTGACATTCTCCTATGAATTTCAACTGGTTTGCACTCTTCAGCAACCAAAAATTTGATAACTGACCGCTGTTCAATCCTGGAGCATGCTTCTTGGTCGGCCATCTTTGTTAATCGCCAGAACTCTCGAAGTTTTTCAATCTGCAAAAGAAATTACTTCCATGTGAAAAAAGTAAAACAACAAAAATAAAAAGTAAGCTTGTATCTGTATTAGAAGTTCGTATACCGAAAAATTCACCTTATTTATTGAATGACCCTCGTACAAATTAACTATCTACTGTTTCGCTTCAGCAGAGCTATCAAACTTCCCTAGTTGGTGCACTCGGCTGCGACCCACCGCAAGATATTGATGAACACTGGACGTTCATGCAAAGGACTGTAAGCTCTTCCGTTCAGCAAGCCTAGTCTTACTCAGCACCATTTGAAGGCCTGGATCTATTTGACCGCCGCAGGAATATCCCAGCGGATTCTAATCATGGTGAAGTGCGCCGTTCTGTCAGTCGGCAGCTCAAACAAATCCTACGCAGTGATCGTGAAGCCTGCTGGTCTCAGCGTGCTTCAGAAATGGGGATCGCTGCCCTCTCTGGCAATACTCGCAAGCTCCTCCGGCTCATTCGATTCACTGGCCACAGAAATCCTGGTGTTAGTGAGACTATTTGCGAAGCGAATGGTCCGCCGACAGCCAAACTACAGAGGCGCTTGAATCGATGGACGGAACATTTTCCATTGGCCCTCACCGTCCACTTGTACTCCCTACTAACCGAGCTGCCCGTCCTGGGTCGTCACCCCTTATCCACCCAGCGAAGTGGAAGTTTGTCTTGCGATTCGACACCTAAGACGATTCAAAGCTGCCGGCTCAGATGGACTTCCTTCGGAGCTGTCCAAGTATGTAAGCGCAGTTAGCCGGCTAACCTCATTATTCCCTGAAATCTGAGATTCTTCTTGGGGCGGGTCAGTTAGTCTCCCGGATTTTAAGAATAGTGCTCCCATTTCGTGTACCAATCACCGGGGGATTAGTCTTATTTCGGTTGCCTTCAAGCTATTGGCATTCATTCTACTCCTTAGACTATCCCCGATTTGTGAATCGCAATACATGGAAGGACTAGATGGCCTCCGTCCTAGCCTTGGATATGTGGATCAAATTTTACGCCAAAACCTCGAACGCCGCCACCTCCACCAGAGGCCTGCCATTGTTGCATTCTTAGACATTCATGCTGCATTCCACTTTTCCGATCGAGCTGTGCTATGGCGTTGCTTGCTGAGCAATGTGTCGTCGGGAAGGTATACCGCGGTCCTGCACCCACACTACGTACACGTCTCCGACAAAGTGAGGGTGGACGGCAAGCTTTCTTTGTCTTTCGCTGTCAGTAGTAGTGTACACCAGGCCTGCCATATGTCCCAGTTTCTCTTCGATTTTGCGATTGAGGACGTCATGTCGAGCGCTCTGGATGGTTGCCCACATTTTGGTCTGGGGCAACT